ATTGAATTGCCTGATTTGGGGCTCTCTATAGTCAGCTCCCATCACTTGTTTGAGAACCTTAAGCATTTGTATGTGCTGCTGGTGCCACAGAGTCTCGTGCATGGCCAAGAAGAGGGGTGAAGGTTCCTGGTTTGTGGAAAAGACCGGGAAGGAGATCTAAAAGGAAGAGGAAAGGACTCAAAAATAGAGTTAAGTTTTCCAAGAATTTGGATAGCTTTGAAAAATTTTTATTTTTAAAGATACAATAATAGAGTATTTTTAGGAAACACTTTTAGGAGTTCAGTTTAGGACAGTGCAGCACTAATTTGAGCCCCCAAAACATTAAAATGGAGTGTGTTTCTATAGCAGCTAATAGAGGCAACAGGATTTGTATTAAATTCATGATGAAATATGTCCCCAGTTCAGGTGAGCATTTTTCATCCTTTGGTAGAGAGAGATGTGGTGAGATCATAGTTAATAAAGATCCCCGATTTGGATGAAATGAACCCTTAGGAGGGCTGCAGGCAGTAGAACCACTCTGCTTATGAAACCTCATTGCAGTGTTGCCCCAGTGAACCCTGCAACAGATGCAGTTTTCAGGTACCCCATCATCAACAGGCTTCAATGAGCCAGGGTTTGAAAATGTCCAGCTACCTCTTGACTGGGTGCCAGGCTTGACTCATGTAAGTAGAAATCTGGAACACTTTTGAGAATCCTATAAGAAAATCCATAGTTTTTTCTAGACATGGGTTTATAAGTAATGTGGGCCAGGGATCACGTCTTTGTCTTCTGTATAATTGTTTTTATCTCTGCAGAATGGTATTGTGAGACAGCTTTTCCTTCTCTTTGCACATCCCAAATTTGGGGCTTAATGCCCAGATCACAGAATCATAGAATGATATGATAAATACAGCCTTCCAAATATCTGAAGGGGGCCTGCAAGGATGCTGGGGATGGACTCTACATTAGGGACTGTAGTGATAGGACAAGGGGTAATGGGTTAAAACTTAAATAGGGGAAGTTTAGCTTGGATATAAGGAAGAAGTTCTTCACTGTAAGGGTGGTGAGGCACTGGAATGGGTTGCCCAGGGAAGTTGTGAATGCTCCATCCCTGGCAGTGTTCAAGTCCAGGTTGGACAGAGCCTGGGGTGATGTGGTTTAGTGTGAGGTGTCCCTGCCCATGGCAGGGGTTTGGAACTAGGTGATCTTAAGGTCCTTTCCAACCCAAACCATTCTGTGAGTCTATGATTTTCTCTTGGAGAAACTGGCAGCAAGAACTCAGCACAAACTGATCATATAGATCCCAGGAGCTCGTGGTGCAGCCTCTAGGAACATTAAAATAGATGTCCTCCATGTGAAAGATGGGTAAAAGAGAAGGGGTTGGCTCCCTTTCTTTATAATGGGTGTAATTCTGTATTAAGCCTCACTTTGAATTTAACTACTGTTAGGATATGTTTGTTTTTAAGGAAGTCCCACCCCCTTTCTAGATTTTGTTTCAAACTTTCTCATTGAATTCTATTTTCATCCTGGTAGGAGTTAGATTGGTATCATGGGAGCCTGCTGTAGATCCACGATTTCAGTGCTCCTAGAGAACGGTATTAGGGCTGGAAATTGAGGGTCAAGGATGAAAAGCAGTGGAATTCAGTATCTTTCTGATGCTGAGCTCTGGTCCTGGTGAAGTCATACACAGCAACTGCTGTGAAGTAACTCCCCTCTGAGTGCTGCATGTGCAAGGAAACTGGCAGTATGTGCAGTGAGAAGCAGACTTGAGCCTCCTCAGGCCTGCGTAGACGCTGAAGTTTAGTCTGAAATCTCGACTGGTATTTTTTTAAACCCTCTCCAAAACCTACAGGAAAGTTATGTATTTTAACAAATATTTTAAAGCATTTTAAAGGGAAGGAAAGAGCTTATAATTAACATCTCTCTCAATCTCCTGTTTTTTCTCTTAATTTAAAAACATCTGGCCTCTGGCGTTGACAGATAAACTCCTTAATCTCTTTACTTATGTTAAATGTGCTCTCCAAGTTGTATTTTTCACTTCTAATTTAGTGACATCTGAGGGGTGTGCATGTGGGAAGTGAGCCAGAGGCTGAAGTATTTGCAAGAGAATTGGTGCAGTGACTTTATTGTTGGAAACACACCTGAACAACGGATGCCCACAGACTCTTTTGGCTACCTACATCTGTCTTGGCAGCTGGTGGAGGATGAAGCCTTCTCCACTCATAGAAGTCAGGCTGAGCGTGCAAGGACCTGCTGGGGCTGACATTGTTAAAGGCACTGAATCCCTGACTGATGTGGTTTGCTGATTATTTCCTCCTGTGCCTATCCAGGGCTGGGTTAGGTTGTAACTGTTGTTGTATGTTCAATTCATGGTCATAGAATCATAGAATCCCAGACTGGTTTGGGTTGGAGGGGACCTTAAAGCTCATCCAGTTCCAGCTCCTGCCATAGGCAGGGACACCTTTCACTAGGGCAGGTTGCTCCAAGCCCCTGTGTCCAACCTGGCCTTGAACACTGCCAGGGATGGGGCAGCCACAGCTTCTCTGGGCACCCTGTGCCAGGGACTCAGCACCTTCATAGTGAAGAGTTTCCTCCTATTCCAGGTCCTTCTGTAGACTCCTGTGCAAAACTAGTACTGTATGGACAATTCCTCAGTGGCCTTCAGTGAACTTGAGCTGCAGTAGATGAACCCAAAGCAGCTCCGTTCTAATGGGAGTCACTTGTAATGTTGCCAGGAAAGGCAAACTGTTTAGTGGCACTTGCTTCCCAAGGGTGTGTGAAGGGCTATTTGGCATATGATGCTGTTAGTATCTGGGGTTTAATAGGAGTTTGGCTGACAAAAGTCTGGCATATAATTGTATTTAGAGCTGTGAAATCAAAGATTACTTGCTAAATATAAGCCTGTTCTCTGAAATGTTTCTCCCATGACAAGTGTGCCCTGTTAGGAACCTCCTGTATCTCTTCAGATGGATTGTGTTTAATCGTGTTTACCCTGTGGCTACCTGCTGTCAGAGGTGACTTTGTCCATATAAATCTGCTTCCTCACTTCAATGGAGAAAGGCACACAAAGTCCTGATGATGCTATGAAATGTGATGGATGCACCTCAGTAAGGGTTGGGTCTCCTTACTGCTTCTGGAGTTTTTTTTTGTCCTGGAATCTAGTACTTCTGTGGTGCTTTTGGAATTAAAAGTTTGTTGTTCTCAAAGCTGCAGGAAAATGCTTAAAAATAGAAGCCCTCTGAGCCATATAAAATAAAAGGCAAGAATTAAGAGTATGGTGATTACTGGGTTTGGTTGGTCTGTAAACTGAATGATTTCCTTGGGACTTGTGGAAGTATAAAGTGTCCTGACTCTTGAGTGCTTGGAGTTTCCAAGGCTGAGGAAGCAATTCTTCATGGAGTGGGGGTTAGCAAAAGCCTGTGCCTGGAATACGTGGTAGAGAATGAAGATTGTCAACACACCTGCACTGACATTTTTAAGGCAATCATCTCAGTTTTCCCTGTTCTGTCCCACACTTCATAAATGAGTAATTGCAAGGCGTTTTAAAGAGTCCTCGTGTGTACTTGCAGTCAGATGGTATGTCAGTGAGAACTGAGCAAATGGGAAAAAATCCTCATGGATATTATTTCAAATTCCAAAATGAATTTAGCTGGCCTGTGTTCAAGCGCCTCGCATGTTAGCTTTGTGGAAACGTGGGTGCCAGTGTTTTACTAGCAAATAAAGGTTTTAAAGCTCAAAGGTTTCAGTGAGTTATTGGAAGTGAATTTGGGAATCTGGACTATCTAATTCAAGGTTTGCACCGTGCTAAGCACCACATTCATTCAGTGGCAGCATCATGAACCTGAGTTCTTTGTGTTTCCCTCAGAGGATGGTTTAATGTTAGTAAACAGTCTCAGAGGAAACAGACTCAGAACTCTACATTGAAACGGTGGAAGTTTCCAATAGTGAAGCTATTTTAGGTAGCAGTGAGCTACTGTGTTTGTAATATTTGAGTTTAAAAGGATTAACAAATGTCCTCTGATGTATCTGAAGCTGTTACCAAGGAGCTGACAGTGACAGTGTTGGAGAAGCTGCAGGCAGTTCTCATTTTTCATAGCAATTTTATGTGTGCAGACATATATCCCTTGCTGGTATCCGCACAGCTAAGATGTGAAGAGCAAAGCCCTGCACAGCCAAAGGCACCCTTCTCTAGTATTTAGCTCTGGATAGCCTGAGATGCAATAAGGAAGTTGAGAGTTCTGACAACTCCAGGTTGATCAAGCAGCTAACACTTAATCCATGCCAGCTGCCTGTGGTTTCCTTCCTACCACTGCCAAAACAGTACTAAATGTGGGTTTCATATTAGAAATAAATCTCTTAGTTTATTACACCATGGTTGTGTTTCTTGAAGTATGCAAACGGATGAGGGATCAGACTAAACTTTGAGCATTGCGGGCACTTTGCTTTCAGAGTAAAATACTTGTTTTCCTGAATTTGGGCCTTTCTTATAGTTATTTGTCACCACTCACTACTTTATGGGATATAAACTGGGGGCGAAGAAGACTGGAGTAGGATCTGGTATAGTGATAAGGACGTGTAGAAGGGAGGGAAGAAACATAAGTAGCAGGTATGTAATGATTAGATAGCTAGAAGTTTGCCGATAGAGTGGATGAACAAAGGTGGTTGTTGAGAGCTGAGAACACTCAAGAAGTATCCTCATTCTCATTGCATTCACTTCCTGCCAGCCTGTGTGCTGGGTGGCCTAAGGAGTCCTTTTGTCTCTGCTTTACATGTAAAGTTTTCTCCCTTGCTGACATGGGCTGAGTAGAGGTAACTCTAGAGAGTCTGAAGCCAAGCACTCTTCTCAAAAGCTGCTACTCCATGCTGACCAGGAGGGCCAAGTAGACGTAAAATGAAGAGTTGGTAAAGGACGAGAACTGAGAGTGTGTGATCAGGAGAGCTGCTTCACTCTGGACTTGTTGGTTGGCTGAACTTTTTCACTGCCCTTTGTGCAAGGACTCAGTTTTCCTTTGTAATTTCAGGAACAACACCCTCTGCCTTTAGGAGGGATGGACCTCTGTGATGGCACATGTGTGGAGTGGGAGAGCCATGGAGACCATCGCCTTTTGTAAGTGTTTCTATGAAGCAGCATTAAGTGCAGGTTACATAATTGTTGTGAGCAATCCTGGTGTTTACACTATCCATTACAAAGTTGTTTGGCAAGTGCCCGCAGCTCAGCCAATGTAACCAGCCAAATCCTGACTTCACATCCTCACAGCCCCACCGAAACGGCTGTGGATTTATATAGATCTGGATGAGGTCAGGACCTGGCTCAGGATCCACAGGAATGGTCAAAGTTGGTGTGTGGAGCTGCACACAAATCCCTGCCTCTGTGCTGGTCATTGCAGGCCGTGAATCTTTTTAAGGCTGAATTGCTGTAATTTTTTAGGTTGATTTAGCAATTGAGAAATATTATTTCTAGTTGTCAAAACAGCAAAAAGGACGAGAAATATGGATTTCACATCCTTGTACAGAGCTTCTGGCAGCTAGTATTCTTTCTGCACTTGTAATGACAAATAGTATTAACCTTAGCCATTTTGCTTGGCACTTGGGGTTGTGTTTTCTTTTGCAGTCGTTATTGCTCCAAGAACAGGGAACAGTTTGTAATCACTGCTTCAGTTTTTCACCAGCCTCATGTCCAAAAACAAGGCTAAAGCCAAGGATTAAAGTGCTTTTTTGTGTGGGAACAAAAGCAGCATGAGTCACAGGACTGATCATGACACCTTGCTTTGGAAGACAGTAGGAAATAGCTCTGCCGTCTCACCAAGATGCCCTGTACTGTGAGCCCAGGGGTTTTGGTCAGCCAAGCACAACCTTTGGTTTTCTTCAAAACTGACTTCTCTTATATTGCTTCTTTCCTTCACGTTTGATGCCCCAAATTTTGCCCCCTAGAATTTGTTTAGCTAAGGTCTTGCAGCCTAATGAGAAGAGGGAATCAAGACAGAAAAGAGAAGTTCCTGAGTTCAGGATCTGCCTTGGTGTGATATCAGTGAGCCTACAAAGGTTTTAAACATAGGCCAGGGGGATGGTCATATTATGACAGTGGTATAAGAGACTGTGTTGTCTGCTGCTGTGTCATTTGTCACCTTCCCAAGGTGCCTGAAGTGGCCCTTCTACTTCAAAGCTGTTTTAGTGTGTCCTTTTCCACAGATGCACACCAAGCACAACAGTATTGGTTCCTGTTTTAGATGTGATCCTGTAGGAACTCAGCAGCCAGGTAGCCACACAGCACTCAGGGGAACCTCCTTGGTCATTGTGTCCCTTCTCGGCATACTGCAGGATGAACGGTCGTGTTCTACAGTTCCATTCATAAACTCATCAAGCCAAAGTCAGTGTGCACAGTATGATATCCTGTGTCTGCAGCACAGGGTGGTCTTTTTGGAAGGCTGTTCCAGAGAGCTTTTTACCAAAATGGATGTGATATAAGCAATATTTCATTGCTAGACTTGTAAATATGGAAACCCATCTGGTTGGATCATATTTTAAGAGGATATGGATGCTGGTGTATGTTATTACAAGGAATGAGAACATTTATGATATGCTGTAAATTAAAGAGTGAGATCCTGCACAAAGAACTACTCTTCCCCACCATGTTGTAGGTGATCTTTAGGAATAATTCTTCATACACCAAGGAGAAAATAATACCTAAACCTAGAAAGCCTTCACTTAAACTGACCTAGCTATCATCCCCAGCTCTCCCATTTTGCAATAAAGCAGAAGCTAATCTAATGCCATGGAGTTGTTCAGGGCGCGGGGAAGTCTCCCACGTACCCCAGCTGTTTACTGAACAACCTTAGTATCTTGAACCAAAACAAATGGGGCAGCTTTATCAGTAGACCCTCTCTGCTTTTCTAATCCTGTTTCTCATGCAAGCTCATTGTAATAATCCAGGCTGGATGTTATCCAGACAGCTGGTGGATGTTGTCATTCTTCCATTGACTTGACAATGGAGGTGTGGGCCAAGAGTGAGAACCTGGAAGAATAATTGCCTTGACCACAGAGGGGTGGGAAAAGGCATCGCTGGCAGTTTTGGAAGCAATAATTACTGAGAGTCATGCAAAATCCTCTCCATCTCTTGCTGGATGATTGGAAGGATTCAGCTCTGCATGCCATCACTGGGGTTTTTTGGCTTGGAGAAGTATTTAGAGGTTCATTCATTACTTGTTATAATCCCTCCCAGTTCAGCTGTGCTGAAAGTGAAATATTTACATTAGAAATAACATCATTGCTGCCAATAACTGAACTGCCCATTGTAGAACCTGTGAGGGAAATGAAGCCTTTATAGTGCACTTTGCTATGGCATTCTCTTGATCATTCAGATTTTGCTCCCTGGGTACCATAATGGATGTGTGACCTTCAAAAGAAACTGTGAGTGCAGCCAGCTTTTTACTACATAGAATTAGCTTTTCAAATACTTCCCTTTTGAACTACCTACCACTTGAATCTGTGGCCAGTTTCTGGGCCTTCTTGGCTTAGGTCTGCTCTCTTTAGACTTTGTCTTACTCTCTGCAGATTTATATTGCCCTGTTAACACAATTTGAGTCCAAACACTACATCACAACTGTGGGCTTTTGGGCAGCTCTCCAGCAGTGTGCTGAATCTTTCTCTTTTTGCCTTGCTTTTAATAATTCTATTATATGTGGACAGAGCTGCTGCTGCTTTTAATGCATGTCTTGTTGAAGCTTTGCAGGCTCCTTTAGATTTACACAGGACTCTCTTATAAAACAAGAAACCAAATTTCTTATCCATTCCAATCCCAAATCTGTGTGTTTCTCTTATTTCCAAACACTTCATTTAGAGAGCTGGCCAGAGAAGCCTGAGCTAATGCCACGTGCCTTATGCAATTCAGTTGTTTAGTCCAGGCAAGCTTTGCTTTTGTAAACTTTTTGAGAGATCTAGAATTAAATGTGAAACATGAGTCAAACAGGTTTTGGACGTGTTTAACTTGGAACACTTTGTAGTTGTGATGTCCTGATTCAGTACAGGAGAAGGTACTGCTTTGCCCCCCAACAGCTTTGTAAGATGGCTGTTGACCGGATAGATATGTACTTACTCATCTTGCTCCTGATTCGTTTGCTGTGGTTACTCCATCTCCAGCAAGGCAAGCAGCGAAACTTTGCCAAAGAAACTCACGTTTCTGCTTCTGAGATTTCAAAATGAGAAGAAAGCCCAGACCTGCAGGAAATATTCCCATCCATCCTTGAAAGAATGTAGAACAGGCAGGCACGGAATCTGCTTTGGGCTACCACTGTAGCAGAAGTGCTTTATGCAGACCAGGTATGAGCGAATGGTTAGGTAATCCCTGAGCATATCCATGAAATGGATGTGCATGTGAAATGATGCATGTGAAATGGATGCATGTGAAACTCTTATCTAATCCATAAACCTGTAGGCAAATCCCATCCCTGTTTAGTATCTGAAGGGCCACCTGGGGATCTGAACAACCCTTTGGTCCAGGTTTGAGTCATTCTTTGCCTTGATTCTTTCACCTCAAGGATCTCTTTGTACCAGACTACTCACGGTGTCTGGAGTAACTTTTTGCAGCCCTGTTGATAAATGCTGCTGTTTTCTCCCTCTGGCTTCCTTCATCTGAATGACCTTAGATTTACTCTTTCACTGCCAGGCCTGGCTTGCAGACCTAAATACATGTGGCAGGTGAACACCGATAGAGTTCGCATATTGCTTCTGGTCAACCCTGCTTGGTATTTAGGGCAAGGGGACATCCTGACTGCTGGGGAGGCTGGTGTAGGCAAAACTGACTGGTACCCAGTTTGAGGAAAAGAGGCTGTCAATGAAGATCAGACCATGGTATGCAAAGCCATCCCTGGCTTCATTTGGTTTCCAAAGATACACCACATCTGTTTCCTGGGAGGGAAACAGACCTTCCCTTCTCGCCCTCTGTGTGTGCACCTCACTTGTTTGCAAGCTGAGCTCTCCACCTGCAGCTTCATCCCACAGCCTCTTCCACCTTCTGTCTGGTGGGTTGAGGGCCCTGTCTGTGGTTGATCACTTTGCCCCAGCTGGATGCTAGGGCAGGTATCCACAGGGAGCCTGCATTGCTGGGCTTTCTGCTGTGTCAAAGAGCACACTGCACCCTTCCTGCCAAATTATCTTGGAATGGTTTAGCCCAACATCTCTGGAGCTTGTCCCTGCTGGATCAGACAATGGTGCCAATCACTGTCTGTGCCCTCACACTGAAGGGCTTTGCACTGCATGTAAACATTGCTTATCAGTGACTTCCTCTCTTGAGAGCACGCATAAAGAAGGAGTTTTGGCATGGAAAAAAAATCATGGTAATCTACAGCTGCTGTATCTGTCCTATATCAAGGTCAGAGCATTCCCAACCCAAGTTCTGGCTTGGATGGCTTGGAGCAATGTGTGTGCTACAGGGTGTAAAGGTTTTCTGTAGCAAAAAGCTATTCAAAACTGAATGAAAACACAGAAAAAGCAGGGCATGGGCTGTTATCTTAAGTCAGCTCGTGGAAACTTATTGCCAATTGAGCCAATATTTTCCACTCATCTCAGATAGTAATGGAGGTCAGTGTGCAATTATTACCTCAGCTGGCCTAAAATGTCACCAGTGGTTGTTTATCTCAGCTATGTACCTCATCCAACTACAAGCTGTAGCCTTGGCTGCTTGACAGTGCAAAACCAAGAGGGACTCTGGCTGAAGTCATGTTTTATTCAGTTACCTCTGGCCAGATTCAGTACGGTTGTGTTCTTTATAACAGTTGGCCAAAGATGCACCCATGTACATCAGGAATGACTCAGAAAGCCACAGTGGAAGTGGGAGGATTAGCAGAGACCTGGTGTCTCTACCAGGAGAAGTTGTGTCCATAAGCATGGCTCTGTGTTAGTTAACTGCAGGTGCTGGGTCTCTTCACAAACATTTGAGGTCTTACCAGGGGTCTGCACTGTCTGTGTGATAGAACAGTGCTAATGTGATCATCTTTGGCAAGCTATTGTCAGACCTCTTGTCTTAATCCAGACTTCTGGTTCAATAGTCACTTGGCTCTCAATAAACCAGTCTCTTTTGGGGGAACAGAGTCTATGTGCCAAAGATCCAATGAAAGCCTTCTTCTAAAAAACTAACAAACAAAACTCTGTGAT